ACACACACACACACACACACACACACACAGTTCCCAGTGCTGACTCTCAGACAGTAATGAAGCCTCCCTGCTCTTCACAGCTGGTGAGCTTGTTGGTGGGTGTGGTCAGGTCTGCATCACCGAGGAGACACGTGCCATGGCAACATAGTTACCTAATAGGCTCCATTGCCATAGCAACAGAAGCGAGCTTGCTTTCTCAAGGGTAACACATCGTCAAGCTTTCCCCGTCCTGCAGTTGTGTCGTGTGTCTCTCATGCCATTTATTTCATCCAGAGTCTTTGTCTTTCTGCATTTTTATCTCCCTCTGACAAATAGGAGCGTCAAAGACTTGGATTTCCCAACAGACACACATGCTGTCGCAGTTATCGGAGCACTATATCATGCCAGCAGCTTATGTCAGTGTGACGGTCTGCCAGACATGGCTCATGCATTACAAACGTGCATGTAGCCACGTCTTTGAGACACTGCATGTGTTTATAACTGCACTGCGTCCGTCTCCATCTTTGATTCAGTAAACATCGTGGTTCTCATCTATCAGTGAAGATAATGTGTCGAAACCTTTCGCTCATTGGAGGAAAAAAAAGCCACATTTTGGTGCTGTGCTTAATTCATGAACTCGCTGACTGGAATACAGCACATCAGTGTTTCCATGGCAACAAAGTGCCAGCACAATATCCTGCCCAACAAAAGAATCAAAATCAAGACACCCAAACCAAAAAGCCATTTCCTTGTAAACAAATCCACTCATTCGGTTTTATAACAGTTTAAATTTACTCCACTGACACAATCTGCTGGAGGTGCATTATTTTTGTAGCTCGATATTCCAGATACACGTGTAAGCAGGTGTTTGCCCTTCCTCATTCATGTGAAGTTCAACATGTTTAACAAAGATCTTTCCTCAGATTGGATGAGCCTGACCCACAGCATCTTCAGCCCGTCTCCCATCTCTGAACACCACTGATGAATTTCAAACATGACGAGCACTTCCTCAGGTGCAAACGGGCGAGGTCTGAGCAGGCAACAGATATCATGAGCAGCATGAAGTGCTCCCCGTTCCTTTCTGCCTGACCTACTTCAGCACCAGAAATAGCAGCACTCAGGTCTCTGCTTCCAATCCTGTTTTTTGCTATTTCATGGCTCCTGCCACCGCGCTCGAGACAGGAGGAGAAAAAGAACGACAGCGAGCGTGGCAGAGGAGCGAGGTGCAGGAGGTTCATGTGAGCTCTCCCTGCTTCGCGTCTGCTTTCTCATCACATAACTGACCTTCTGAGAGCGGTGCTCTGTGAGAACTTTCATTATGACTAACAGTCTACATTAACACTTCTCCTAATTATAATGGCACATCCAGTTAACAGGTTGAATTGGTCAGAACATTAATAGCGGATGACTATTTGCTATTTAGCATTTCCTCTCTAACAGCAGCCTTTGCTTGTGTTTTAGTATTCATCTGCAGTATTTATATTCATGCTGATATAAAAAAAAATGGGGCAGTGTTAAAATTTTAATGCAAGAGATTTTACTTCCAAAATGTTTTATAATGCACGGTGGTGACTACAGGAAAGCAGGCATGGAATTAATAAAGTACAGTACGTTTTGTAAGACAAGTTCTGTATGTTTAGTGTTTTTAAAGGATGCGTGTGATTGCAGTGTCTGTATTCTTTTCTTCTGTAGATAAAGGGAGATTGCTCTCCAAACACTTGACTGGAAAAACATACCTGTAAATATGCATGTGTGGTTAATTCAGCTCCTTTACAGGCCTGTTGGGTAATTGCTCCTGTCAGTGATGCCCATGTATCCATGCCGTAATTACTTCTTGATGTAAAAGTCACAGAGCAACGAGCCAACCTCAGGAATTCTCTGCAGCATTACCGGAAGGATAATTATAATATTTCATACTGATGTTTGTAATATTAGACAGTTCTCTTACTAATGCTTTGGTCCAGAGAAGAGGATTATTTGAAATAGTTCATCCTCACCTATGTGTGTATTTGGTGTTCTTTTATGCGGTAGGAGCTTGAGTAGGAGTAGGTGTCGTGTCAGGTCAGGAATTACGTCTCTTGTTTCAGCTTCTTGCACTTACTGAACAAAAATCCTGTTTCTACTTAAGTTCTCAGACACCTGTCTTCTTGCATGTTCGGTTTCTAGTGCAGTTGTGTAACGTCGTTAGATGTTAATGCTCTTCTGTTATTCTGCAATATATTATACTGGCAGAAGTACCAGTTTAAGACAACAATAAAGAAAAATAAATTCAGAAGAGAAGCGCCACATGAGCTGAATGAGAATGAAAAGCCAAGAACGTGTGAGGACATTGGTGACAAAATACACTCACCGACAATGGCGAGGTTATGTTCAGATCCGCATGCAATCTGTAGAGAGAAAGACAAAAAGAGGTAAAAGGGTTTATCTGCCTCCAATGCATATTTACATGTTGAAAGCAGACATGACAGTTTTAGGGCTCTTATATCAGAGAATTGTTTAGAGATTAGAGCCCGACGGATTTACATTTTTGGAGGCCGATGTCGGTATTAAGGAGTAAAAGAGTTCAATTAAAACTTAATTTGGAGCTGGACGCTTTGCAGTTTAACCATAAACTTTATGATGAATGAAAAAATAAAATAAAAGGAAGACAGAAAACACATTGGCTCATATCAGCAAATATTATCGACCAACCAAAAAATAGGTCGGCCTCTAATTAAGACCACTTGAAATAAAACATAAAGAAATTCAAATAAAAACATGTGTTAAGATGAAATTCTCCAGCTTTTATTCAAACCACTTTACAACTTGAGTGGACACAGCACAGGATACATTAGGAGTGATTTCATTTCAGTGTAAAATCACCCACTAAATGATGCATCATGAGAAAGCAGAGTAGACAAATGCAATATAAATGGCAGCTCATTCATAAAAGCTAAATCCCAGAGGAGTTAATGCCACAGTTTCAGGAAGGCTTTCTCTGCTGATTTTTTAATTGTATTAACTCAGTCTGTTTTTCCATAGTATTTCCACTTCATAACTAGTGGAATTAGAAGACGGAGTGAAATGCTGATCATATCATCACATCTTAAATAGAAGCTCACACTATGATTCCTGCTGTTGAAGCGTTGATGGATTATAAAGTGTTACTTCAGTAGCGTTCATAGGCCTCATAAAGATATGACAGTTTACTAAATATTGACTGTGTGGGTGTACAGTTATAGCAGGACTAACGTGGCCGGGTCGGCTGAGAGATTCATAGTCAACTCAGCAAATCCATCTCACTTTTAGATTTACACACATGAGGTGACTACACTTTGACAAACGCCAGTGTGGTCGCAATGATTTACGTGTGGAGGGAGAGCTATCCGGAGCTTGCCCTTGTCCGTCCCTGACATCCACTTAACTGGCAACAATCTCCTAACATATAGATGCCATTCAGACGGCAGGTTAACTGCTGCAATCGTATGATCCTCACACATAACTGCCCTTATGGGAGAAGAGACCTCACTCTTGCTTAATGTAAAAGGTTCGCTCCCATGTGGAAGATAATGGATGGGAGTGAGTGGGAGTGAGTAAGATTGTGTGTGTATGTGCTCTTTACTGGATAAATATTATGAAGCCAATCATTAAGAGGCTTCTTTCTGTGGGCCTGGCTCTCATTCAGTAGCACTGGCTTCCACCAAACAATAAATCATCTTCAGAGGCCTGTTTGTTAGTTGGGGTCTAATGCCCTCTGCTGGATTGATAGAGACATTTCTAGAAAATATGAGGTCAACAACAATAGTTTAATGTTTGAATCGGCCTGTGTTTATATCATGGGTTAGTTGTAGTTTGGATGATATACATTATGCACAAAAATTATCCATATTGTAACTATACAAGATATGTCATTTTCTTTTATTTCAGATTGCCTTGGAAGAACTGGCTATAGAGACAACAGATGAAAATTAGCCTATACAGCTAAGACATGTTGATTAATGAGAACTGTCCCTATGAAATAAATAAACAAATAATATAAGATAATGAAAGTATTATCATCAATAATTACTATATCTAAAGCCTTATTCTCTTCAGTCAGCAGAGGTGCCCACCACTGACACCTCTTTTACACAAAATTCACAGGTTTACCTACTTTTTAAAACTCGGGTCAATGCAGTTCAAAGGCAACAGACTCTTTTCCCAGTGTTTGCCTTTCTGCTTTTTCACATCGTCTTGCCAAATTACAGTACTTACCCGGGGGTATAATTTCTACTGCCACCAATTAGAGCAAGAGCTAATAAAAAACTGTCTACTGTTTTTAATGGGTGTTAGTGAGTTTTTCACAGACGGATGCCTCACCTGTGTTGCTCCCCTCAGGACTTTAACCTCTGTAGGGAGGCAAACCTCGATGTTTTCACTTCCAGTTGAAGGACCAGCTGACTGCTGCTCTGCGTTCTGAGTGGTTGATGCTTGTCGGCCCAGCTGTCCATAATCTCCTCTGCCCCACGTGAACACCCTTCCACTCTCTGAAATGATTAAGGCCTGATTCAGATATGGCAAATGTCTGTAAAATCATGTTAAAACTGTTGAGTACATATAGATGTAATAGGTGCTGTAAAAGTGATTATGTTTCACCTGTTTGAGCGACAATGTGAGTCCAGCCGCTCCACACACTCATTACTTTCTCTCCATCCATCAGCGAGCGCTTCAGAGGAGTTGGAGAGGACAGGAAGGGCTCTGAGGTGGTCAGCTGGCCGTGCTTGTTGCTTCCCCACAGAAACAAATCACCGTCTTCTGCACACGAGACAGAAGCAACATCACTCGTCATCCAGAAGAGGCAGCAGCACACAGGCAGAGCAGTGATTAAGTGGAACTGGTCAACTAATTACAAGACAGCAGGGAGCCCTGTCATCATGATGTATGGACATTAAATGAGAGACAACACTGGGGTACAACCTGGATGCATAAATGCTCCCTGATGAGGACCAGCATGAAATTCAAGAAACATCTTCTTTTAAATGATAACTCTTATGTCTATCTTCCGCTTCTTACTGTATGAAATCAGGTGACTTCACACATTTCTAAGGATTCATCGAAAACTTGGATCTGTTTTCTGCAAATATTGTCCAGATCTACAACAGCATTTAATGGGTTCTTCCTTGGGTCATGCCCCGCCCGTCCACAAAATTTGAAGTTGTTTTTGCATAAAACGATTGCAGATGAAAACATAATCTCATCAGCAGAGGTGATTAATAAACCAAATACAAGGTAACAGCTGACATACATGCTGGTATCATACCTGTGAGGCACACACAGTGCGCTGAACCTGCAGCTACCAGGTGTGATTTTTTCTGATCCAGACCTGCAACAGGAGCGTGAATATCTGGTGACATTTATCACCCATGAGTGAATCGGTAAATGTTTTCTGTATTTGTGCTCAGTGCATGTACCTGGTACCAGACAGGGCAGCTGAGAGCAGAGGTGTGATGGGACAGGGTGCGGACTGAGCGCTCTCTTAGCGTGACTGAAAAGGCCAGCTCCCCATTGATACACATCACCTGAGCCTGAAGGCCAAACACAATATTATGATCTGTGGATTGACTTTTGAGTGAAAACGTACTGAGGACTGTTTGCAAGTCTTACTAGTAACAGCAAGGGAGTGTCTAAGTCCTGCTGCTATAATCACCACTGGCTCCTTCAGACACTGAGAACAAATAGCACAGTCACGTGTCAATGAAACTGATCAAACTGACCATGACGTGAGGTGTATATATATATACAGTATATAAAACACAGATGATATGATAAGCATTAACAAAGCTTCCTAAGTTATGGCTATGTTTTATTAGAGTCGATAAGCAAACATGTTTCGTGCTCACCTTAACAATCAGTAAATCTGCAGAGTGCGTGACTTTCGGTCCAACACCCAGTTGTCCAAATGCATTGGAGCCACAGGCCAATACCTGACCACATCCTGTAAGTACAATATAAAAGAAATGTCTCACACGGAAATATTCAACTTCTGTAGAAGGTAGGAGGTGGTTCCAGGCCTGATTCACTTGTATTCCCTTCACATAATTGTATTGGTTTTGTGGCTCTGATAATCTTATTGTTATTTTTATTTAATCATATTTAATTTGTGACTAATGTTTATCTTTTCACTTTCCACAGTTTAGTGGTTACTTCCATTGTATCTGATACTTTGTGCAGCACATACTGCATCCATCTAGAAATGTTCTAGATTTATAAGGCTGTGCTTGCTTGTTCTAAATTTTGGGTTATTTAATCCAAACACAGTCTGTTTGCAGCATCACAGGAAGTGTTGCCTTTAGGACATGTAAAAGTTTACATAAGAGTGCTCCAAATGTGGCTAGTTTTACAGCAAACGCTGATGACCAGGAATGTGAGTCAAACACTGGAATTATGTGAGGTTTAATGTAGACATGGGAAAGATTCTCAAATGCAAGGGTTTGTGTCGTTAAGACTTTCTCTCACATGTTTTTTCAGAAACTTGTTTTATTAAAAATTGGAGTTCACAGATGTATGTACAAAGTGGACATTGACACAAATAGTATTTACAAGTCAGATCTGGTTATTATAGTATGATGTGTATGTGGCATCAGCCTGTGAGGACTGCTCTTGTTGATGCTGCTATCTAATATGATGAGGTTGCAGCTATCTCACCCTGTGCTCATGCTCTATTGCACTACTTCTCTTTTACTAACTTCTTACAGGCTTACTACTGTGTAGATTGTACATATTTTTTTCTTATATATTTCTACTCATATCCTGTCTCATTTTTGGCTTATTATTTTATCCTATCAAGAACCACTTGAGAGAAATGCTTATTCAAATCTCACACAAATCACAGTAGTGCTCACCGGTGAGAAGAAGAGTAAAATCCCACCCACAAGCTACATTTGTGACCGTTTGATTCAGGCTGGGACAAAGCTGAAGAGTCGTGATGTTTGCGTGATGACCGAGTCCCAGCTGACCTCTGTGATTCTGTCCACACACAAACACTTCTCCATTTTCTGTCAAAGACAAAATACAACATAAACATGAAGACCAAGCAAGAGTTTACTGCGTTAAAAGTAAAAATAGATGTTTTAAACATAAACATAAGCAGACTTACTATGAATGTATAAAACAAAATGTGATTGCTGTAGATTTCCAGTAGTCACATACACATTACATTGAAAACATAAAATTACACTATTAAATTGAATTAAAATAAACATCTCTGTCACAGTAAAAGAATGTTACAGATTATTTGGATTGTTATTTTGAAATGTATATTATGTATATATGTATATAGGTATATATGTTTTTCCTGGAACTGTACATCTCTGATGTTTGATATACAGTATTTTTATAATCTCGTGGGACAGGAGAGGGATCTCATGGTTTTGGGGACAGAAGGAGAGAGGGACTGAGAGACATCAGGAAGTCACTCGTTAGTTTTTTAAAAGACACAGGGCTGACAGGTAGAATTTGACATTTGTTAAATGACATGATGTTACACACTTGCACCTGAAGTCGTTCGCCAGTAAACCGAGAAAAGAAGAAGGAAGAAAGTGGGACGTACCGGTGACGAACACGGAGTGACCGCCGCCTCCGCACACAGACCGGACCGCCCGGTCCTGGAGAGCCGCGGTGTCAGAGAGCCGGGGCTGAGGCTGGTCCTCCACATGTCCCTGTCCCAGCTGTCCGTGACTGTTGGCCCCCTGACCCCGAACACATCCATCACTTACAGCGGGGTTCACGACTGAAACTTTTACAGACGCTGCTTTTAGTAGCACTTCCTTTCCTGACTCTGATGCTAACGTTAGCCAAAGAGCTACATTGAAGCTGCCGAGACAAGCGTGTCTCTGCCGGCGGTGAGTGTTTAAATCTGTTAGACTTCACGTCCACACACACATAAAAGTGTAACACAACCGTAAGACAGGGACGACAACAAACTTACCCAAGACCGTAAACAAAACTCCAGCCGCGAGCTCGTTTCCATGGAGCACTACAGCTGCCAGCGAGCGAGTCCGGAGAGATTTGCGACACTGTCGTAAAGCCAACTATTGTGATGTTTGGCTGTAAATATACTGTATATATACACTACTCTCATCATATCCATCGTGTGCCTTATGACTGCATACTATGCCGTACTTTGTACTATGTTTGGAGTACTTATTATGTTGTCAACTTATATGTTTACACCAGGGATCATAGAGAAACGTCATATCAATCCTGTCTATGTCCTGTACATATGGCAGAATTGACAATAAAGTTGACTTTGGCTTTGATTTATAAATTAGATTCTACTTGAAATAGAGTCAACTTTAAACAGAGCAAAACAAGTAACTTATTTGTCTCATGGGTTTTACAATCTGTACAACATGCAACATCCTGTTTTAAGAACTTGTAATGAATACATTTATTCACCTTCTAATATTCACTTCAATAATTTCCTAATGCTTTATACATAGATTACAATCCATTAAAACAGCTTTTGGGTTGCCAGGTTTTGGGGAATCCTCTTTAAAAATTAGTGGCCAGTTTGGCAAACTCACCTAACAAAGTCTTTCCTCAATAGATATGAATCAGAGTTAGTTAGTAACTCAACACAACTAAACAACACAAACTACAGCCCTCAGCCTTTGTGATGGGAATATTTATTAAAACCAGATTACTTAGCTTGTTGACATAGTTATAAGATAGCAATTTAGTATAGAAATGATTAATTTATATTAGTGACACAATGTGAAACAATGTTCTGGAGGTGGGACAGAGAGGATCCATGACTGGACATTAAACTTAGCTGTCAGCCCTGCATTTCAATAAAACTATTTGTCACTCAAGATATATATTCAACTATATATAAATTACATAAAACGTCCACACAGCAAAGTCAAAAACTCAACAATGAACCAGCTTCAGGTGTCACCAAGTAATCAAGTCTTGATTGTGTGTTATGGTGGATTTCATCATGTGGCCCCCAGAACAATTGATGAACAAGTGATCATTATTCTTACAGTATAGAATTACACAATCTCCGATCTCCCAACTTTTACCATAACTTTAAGGATCTGTGCTGTCATCATTCTGCATCTTTAGGATCATAGTCAGCATCTCTGCCAGCATCCAGTAATTACCACTCCGAAGACACCAGAAAGTAATAAATCAACAAGTAACAAACCACTGAGACACTGTGAAGACACAATGAGCTTTTCTCTTTATTATATTTTTCAATAGTTTGATACATAGCCTATACTCATAATTTCTATATTTCTTTACAGTAGAAAAATAATGTTTTATTTCAGGAGCACTACAATTATATTCACGTGGTACATGGGCCAAATCTGCCATAATCAGTCATGAAAACATTCTTATAACAAAGTGTTTTCACTTTTATAATTTCCCTCAACAGCACACTGAAAGACGAGCATGATACATGTACACCAAAAGATAACAAACATGTTATACATATCACTGGAGTGAGGAAGATTAAATGGATTAGATTCATTAAAAACAAAAAATCACATGATCAGATACAACAGCAGAGTTAACAACAGGAGGACGAAACCACATCTGTGTATGTAACAGCTGAGGACGCTTTAAAATACCATGATGACGTATTAACTGTTCGTAATGCAGAAGCCAAGCACACCTGAAGCATAACAGTTAAGCAGCTCTTTGGGTTTGTGTAATGTACCGATATCAGTGGCAGTCTATTGTATTTGCCATATACCATGCAGTGGGGACAACAGAGCAGTTAGCCAAAGGCAGTGCACACATTCATTGCACCAACAAAGGACAATACACAACCAGTAGTACAGCGTTGCTTGGGGGGGGGGGGGTTGAAGACGTGCACTGTAACTGGGACTCAGACACCCAGCTGCTTGTTGAGCCGATTGAGGGCGTCGCCCACAATGTCAAGCTCATGTCGAAGCTCCTCCACAACGCTGTTGATGCTGGGAGTGTCTTTTAGCACGTCCACACTCTGGGTGTAAGGGTTGTATCGGACTGTGAAGGGACGCTTGATGGTCTTGGCGAACTCCCTGAAATGAAAATAATATCATCACTGAATAATATATTAATTACATGTAAAACAACAGTGCAGCTTGTGGATAATTCTTTATCTTTCCATGCAAGGTGTATCATTATGGCGGTTTTATGTTAAATGACTGAGGAGCCAAGCTCACCTCATCTTGACTTTGGCTTCCTCAAAGCTGTCTGACACAAAGTACACATCCTGAAATGTTGTGATGATGCATTCTTGTTTGGATGTGACTTTGGGGTCAAAAGGCATAATCCTTGCATTACCAGAGAGTGCATGCTGAAAGAGAGAAACACAATAAAGATGCTCATGTAAAGATGTTCAATATTCCAGGTTAACACAAGCCCATGTATCAAGTTACTAAATGTGAATCAGTGTGACAGAACAGAACAAATTTCACTTGTCTTTCAAATTAATTACAAGAAATAAAATCTGAATAGTTCAATTATCACCATGCAACAATAACTTAAAAAATAAGGTGATTATTTTTGTATTATTTGCATTGCACTTTATGTAAAAACTAAAATAATAATACAATTTAATTGAATAAGAATTCAAATAAACAAAACAATTGAATAAAAGTTAAAATAACCTCAACTGAAATTTAAAACAGGTTTAATAAGAGGGTAATCAAGACAGTTCAAGACAGCTCTTCAGATATTTTCTTTTAATATACACTGCACATATACTTATATTAGATTTACAGTAGGGGTATATTTAATTTCACGTCATGACATAAGACTGTGTTAAAATGTCCACTGTGCAGCATGGACATCTTGTTCAAATTCACTGCCTTTACCTTAAGCTCACTAATAGATGATAGCAGTCCTGCTCCATATGCTCGCAGCTGCCCTTCTTGTTTGCATAAGCCAAACTCCACTGTGAAGAAATAGCACTGTAACAGATAAATCAGAAACTATTAATACAGATATTCTGGATTCTCTCAAACTTTGCTTTGATCAATTTGAACTGAATCAGTGTCACTCACTGTGGCCAGTTTCTGAACAGAATCATCTGAGGCCCCAAGTGAGGCAAGACCGATCTCCTGAGAGAACTGGGCAAAGCTGGGCTCAGCAAGCAGAGGGACGTGACCCAGCAGCTCATGGCACGTGTCCCTGGGAAAATAGAAGAGCACAGAACATTAGCTCCAGTAGCCTTATATTAATGGCACTGTTCTTCATACAGCAGTGTGTGTTACTCACGGCTCTGGGGTGTATAAGGGGTCAGTGCTGTGACGCACATACTGGGTACAATGGAAAACGCGGAAGGCCAAGCCAGCAAGGAAGTCACGTGGGGACAGATAACCTGCCACAGGCCTGATGGTAAATCCAGTACGTTCTGAGGAGATGAGATGATTTTTTGAATTTACCAAACTGAAATTCTAAAAAGTTTTTATTTCCAATTTTAAGCAAAAGAATCATGTTTTATTTTAAAAAGAAAATCCATCCTACCCCTTAGGAAGCGCGAGACGTCCTCCAACTGGGGGATGTTGTCCTCCCGACATTCACAGTATTTGGACAGCAGCGGCAGGTTCTTCAAGTATTCGCGACACGCGTGCGTGGGGTACAACTTGATGAGCTCCCTGTACACAACACCCCAGGTCTTCACTTCCTCCTCTGTGAACTCAATGCGAGAAATGGGATCCCCACTGGAAGAACACAGCAAAAATATCTCAGTGCTAAGTAATAACTTTACAGATTTCCACAGTAAATTTTCACTGCATTGCTTGAGTTCCTCTCCATCTTTCCACAGGTACCTATCACTGCTTTTAATGTTTAAAAACCAAATAAAGTGTTAATCAGAAATGAAACATACTGTTTGTAGGCCATGGCAAGATCTGCAAAGTACTTTCTCCTTTTCCGGTAAACGTTGTCCTTGAAACCCTGATGAAGAGGAGAACACAAAGATATGAGTGTGCTTCACATTGAGGGAATTTATCCTTACAAATCAATCCTACCGGTGTATATGAGCAAACTTACAGGATGATCAGCATCCAGATCAGAGCCATACATCAGGACACGGTTAGCGCACTTGTCCAGGTCTGAAATTTTCTTTGGGAACCAGGGTACATTATACATTTCTGACAAGTGAAGGAGAGAAAATGGTTGTTTAGTGATATAATCAGGTTTAACTGGCTACAGTTTGTTTCTGCATCATTTCAATACTGTCCCACCTTGTTGAAGACAGGAGTTATCTGGAGGCTCCATATCCACCACGTTCACATGCTTCCTCAGCAGCTGGATAATTTCATTCAGTTGCTCGTGGTTGCTGTCGCAGTCCACAAATATCTCAAACTCAGAGTTGCGTCTTTTAGATTTTCTGGACTCTATATGTACAAGGTTGACGTGGTTCTCCTGCAAAAAACGATGAAAATAATTCTGTTATCACCTGAAATTTAAGAAGTAAAAAAAAAACGTATGGATTTTGATAGATAGTGTAAACATATTAAGTTTGATCATACTTGAAACAGTTTAAGGGCCTTTACAAGTCCCCCCACTTCATTCTTGAGGGAAAAGATGATAGTTGCTCTCCCTTTCTCTGATGTATTCTTCTTTTCAGTGTTTTCTTCGATTTTTGTGAAAGTTGATTTGTTTATCTGTAAATAGCAAGAAAAGATAAATGGAGGTTAACTTGTGTAACAGCAGGAAATCTTCATCATCATTACCCAACAATGGTTCTCTTCCGATAGTTATTTAAGGAGTAATGAAACTTTAATTAACTTCTTTTTAAATATGTGATTATTTCATTTCACCTGAGTACATGTGTACAGAGAAATAATTCGATAATAAGATTTTCACATCTAAGTTGGACATTTTGGAGATGCACGTATTCCTATTCTATTCCATTGACAATAGTGGAGGCACTTAATTNAATTCGATAATAAGATTTTCACATCTAAGTTGGACATTTTGGAGATGCACGTATTCCTATTCTATTCCATTGACAATAGTGGAGGCACTTAATTGAAATTTATAACGTTCTATTATTTTAGTTAGACCTCAACTATCTAGGCTCCCCCCTTATAACAATAATAATAAGAAAAATAACTTATTTATATAGCACTTCCAATAAATTATAAACAGTCAGAATGAATCACTAAATGCATGACAGAAATTTAAGCATGACCATGACAATAATAAAAACTAGAATTTAGTAAAATGGGAGGAATACTCTCAATCACTAAAGAGCTCCTCGCCATTCAAAACATTTTCTTTTTATGAACCTGCATCACTCCAAACAACTCGTATTTGTAGCTAACATTTTGCAAATGAAAAACATATGTCGTCTCTTCATGTCCATGAGATAAACAACGCTGTGTCGATGCCGGGATTAGTGCGCGCCTTCCCTCTTGTCCATTTCAGCACATTGGACAGCGCTCTCACGTTGACGCAGGCGTGTGCGCGCTGCTGCTCACGCCAGGGGAAAATTCAGACAGCTAATCCTGCATCCGCTTTTACATGTATGACAATAACATGCACACAGCACAGGATCACTAATCCCCTGACATTCTCTGTAGCTTCACTATAGTTGCATCTCTGTCACACGAGGTTAGAATTTACTACTGGAAAAAAAGTGATTTATGGAGGGGGGGGGGGTCTCAAGCATCCGTTAAAGTCAGCTAAGTTGCTCTCCTACCCTGTTCCGACCCTCCAGCATTGTGCACACCGCGCGACAGACCAGTTTTCGGTGGAGCCGTGTCGGTAGTATCCCTGACAGCATTAGTGCATGGATGGAGACTGGATCAGGACGGCTCCCCGGGGTCAAATCTTTGCGTCTCGGTTTAACGAAGATGAACTCTTGTCTGTGTCGAAGAATCGCCTTAATGAAATCCCCTTTAGATCGCAGGGAAGCCTATTATTAGCGCTGTGCGTGTTGAGGTGTGAGCCTCCAGTCTGCAGCGCGCAGGTTGTGGTCTGCGAGAGCACGGGACGATTTTACGCATCAGACTGACCCTCATCAGAAAGTGTTTTTTTCCCTTCCTTTATGTCATTAATGCAACATGCACTGGTATAATTGTCGGTTTCTATACATATTAAAAACTTTACTCTAGATGTGAGATCATTTACAGTTAATTACAGCAGCATGATTTAAACTTTTTTTTGTTTTTGTCTTTCGTGTTAAAATTCATATTCATTTTCCTGCATTTGTGCAACAATTATTTTGTTATTATATTACATTTCATTTAGCTGAAGCTTTTATCCAAAGCGACTTACAATAAGTGCATCAACCATGAGGGTACAAACCCAGAACAACAAGAATCAAACTTTTGTGTGTCCTCATTTCAAAAAACCTAAATTATTTTGTATTAAGCTCACAGACATATTGGCTCCTAAAGTCACATGAATGTAGTCACATCTTATTTCACATTTTCCTCTTCCATATTTGTCTCGTTATTTTTTTTCCATTCTTTTGTTGTTTTTCTGTTTGTGCAACATTGAAATGGATCCATGCAGAGAAAACTTGCAAAAATGATTTATTAATGCAAACTTTGTCTAAATTTCTTAAATCAAAATACATTACATTAATAATGTGTGCTTTTATAATCATCACCATCACATGTGCACTTTTAATGAAGACATCACAGACTCTGCAGGTCCATGGGTTTATCTTTTATCCTCTATGTGAATCAGGATGCGCATGTACAAACAGCACATATGCAAGCATTTTGGTGAATTTCCGTTCAGCTTTTTCTTTTTAATAGAAATAATATTATTCTACAATAATGAGTTGCTCATGAGTTGAAATTGGGAGGTATGCTAATCTATCCCTCTTAACGCTTTGACGTAAATTACACTATAACAAAACGGCTTAAATTAATCTGCGCTGACAGCGAGGTGAAGGCTTATTCGTTAAGATGACTACACCAATCCCACACAACCACTGTCAAAAAATGAAGCATAGTCTTAAAATATCATGCAAAAGAAAACCTCTGCACCTCATGGTCTTACCACAGTAGGAAAAACAATTCAAACAGGAAAAAACAAACCTGAAGGTCAAGTCATAAAGATTATTTTACCTTACCTCATTATTCAGAAGCTTCTCTTCAAAACCAATGTTCATGGAGTCAAAAGATCTTCCTCTACGTGGTCCTTCGATTTTGTTTGAGTACATGTTAAAGTTCAATCGCGTTTTTTTGTCTTTTTTATGTGGCCTATGTATAAAATAGCTCTTTACAGGTGGTTTATCTCAATAACCTCCTCTATGTAAAGTAGGCTGTCTACCCAGGGAAGCAGCGCGCTTTGCTATTTAACCACAGTGAGAAATAGGAGGGGGCGATAATCTGAGCCACAACAGCAAATGGAAAAAGAGCAGCAACGCCCACGTCATTAGGGAAAAAAAGGGGGAGATCTTTTATTGAATTATTTCACCTATAAGGTCCTGAAACAGCATGAAGGACATCAATCACAAAGTCTGATTTTACAGAGAGAATACAACCTATGATTAAACCTTCCTAAGGTCATGTAACCTACTTCAGTGCATTTCTGAATCCTGCAGGAAAAAGATATGAGCAGGAATTATTTACTTCTTTACTCCTTTTACTTTTTTGCAATAAACTGTTAAAATATGAAAAACATTCTGTGTTTGACCTGTTTTCAGCCACAGTGGACCCAGAACCACTCTCTAATTCTCCTAGTTTGTTGACACCTTGAAGAGGTCAGGCAGTAAGCGGATTCAGACCCACCAGCCCTCATTGTACAGTGATCCCAGAATACCCCCCTTTTCGAAATCCATTCCCCTGCACGGTAAGCACCTCTGGGTTTTCGTGCACATAACAGAAATAATCTGCATGTTTTTCTGTAAGCCTTTAAATAAGATCAAGACAATCATTGGGAAAGGCCTCGGAGGCCTCAGTGAGCAGAATCAAGACTATGGAGTAGTAGAACCTGAGAAACCTCATTACTTTAGACAGATAACGCTGTTCTCTGTAAGCCTCACAAAATAGGTCAGTGTGAAGTGTCTTAGTCTGGTCAGCCATCACTTTTGTCTCCATGCACACGGCTCTTATGCATGTGGCTGATGCACATGCAGCTTGTTTCAGGTGGTCCTGGCCTGTGTCACCCGTGACATGAGCAGAAGCTTTACACAACCCTGAGAAGGCAGTGAGGGGAATTTCCTCCTCCCAGGAGCTGAACCCAGGTCTGCCCCCAGATATTGTGTTAGGCAGAGCAGTTAGCAAGGGTCAAGCTTTCATTACACATGCATGTTTTATTCTAAATGGTAAAGCATTGCAAGAGGAGATCAGCTTAAACGTAATTCAGCAGTCATTATACAGGCGCCTGTCTGTTCTGTCTCTTCTGGTTCTGGTTCTGTGAAACGCATCTGGCAACATATTCATATTGACAGAGGAGTCAGTGACTACATGAGCCATGGTGTATTACTCATAAAGTTTTTAAGCTACACACACACACACACACACACACACACACACACACAGAGTAAGATCAGTGATGATGTTTACTTTCTTGTTATCACCTCCACATAGAGGGCAACCGTTTCTGCTTTAATGCACTAACACAATACTACACATCGCCAGAGCAACAACACAAAACATTTGCACACCCCCACATGTTACAACTGCATACAGTTATTGTAAGTCACATTTAGAAATAATAACCGCAGCATCATCCTGAAGCTGCTCATGGAAAGACATTTATATATTTTAAATAACAGCTGAAATGATTAATCGATGACTGGATGAATCAATTCACTCCACGCCAATTCAATTATTTCTCAAGCTCAAACTTCAAATATTGCCTGGTTCCATCTTTTTCAATGTGATTTGACACTTTCCTTTTTTGCTTTATATCTGTAAATTAAATATGAATATGTTGATCTGTCTTTATTTGTTTGATGGAAGTTTAATTGCGTCCAGACTGTTGATCAGACAAATCGAGCAGTCACCAATCTGGAAAATTAAACCATCTGATATTATGTCGGCTAAAAGATTCATGACGATAATACAGTTTTAAATAAAAAAGCCAAAGAGAAAATACTTGACAAATATAGGTGGATACAATCATTAAAACAGTGAAATCAGAAACTGAACTGAGGCAATTACACCATAATGTTATTATTCTTTTATCCCTTGTTAGACTGTAAGCAGATTACCCAAAAAGTGTGGTGTGGATCAGGATTAGGATCAGGAAGTGGATCCAGGAATAGTCTTTTCTTTTTTTTTACCATTGGGACATTTTTCTAAATTTTCACAGATTTTTCAGCATCACAGCATCATTTGCTGCCTAAACCTCAGATTTTCTCAGTGTGGTGGACCCTGGATAAAACAAACACGCAATTATTTTAACATCCTATAAAATATGAAGTTGCGTTCCTTATTATCTTCAGTCTTTCTAAAGGAAACGGAATAAGAAAATTAGATTTCTGTCTAACAAACTCTCCATAAGGTTCTGCGTCTGTCCATTGACACCAGCATACGTCAGTGAGCGTCACGGTGAGTTAACCAGGCTGCAGCTGCCTAAAGCAAAACAAACAGCGATGTGGACCTTATAGACACATTAACTCTGTGACTAAAAAGCCTTGATTTTTTCCTTTTCCTAGAATAGGTATTCTAGACTTGTGTCTCTCTAAAGAATGAGCAAGAAAAGGACAAAGGCTACTGAATGGCACGAGTGAGTCATTGTTCAGGACTCAGTAATGAACTGTTCCTTTCACAAAGCCCAAACACTAAACTAAGCTGCCACAGAGCAGGATCAAACTCGTCCAAATCCACTTACAAATACATTTTCAGAACATCACTGTGAGGCTGCGGTTGCTCCGGTCCTGTGTTTGATCCCTTTATGTCTCGACAGCTCCTGGATCAAATCTCTGTCGTTTAATGTCGCATTCAGAGGCTCTTTAGATTTCACACAGATTGCAAATCACTTTTATATCCAAACTGCTTTCATTTAATTATTTGTTATAAAAACTTAGAATTATATGTTTAAATAGTTATAGATTGTGATAAATAATGTGATGCTGCTTGTGCTGTCTTTGCCTTCACAGGTTGACACACATGCTCTGAGATGCTTTGAAGCCAACAAGTACTTTGACAAGGCAGAGACAGTGCGGCTCATTGTGGTGCAGGGTCCTGGTGAAGCAGCTACCTTACGTCACCGCAATAATTAGCTTCAAGGATGAGATAATATGATGCAACAATTCAGCCATTCACAAAGATTTTCCAAGCAGAACATTTTAAGTTGTTCTCAGTTGTTCTCATGGTCATAGAGACATTCTTCCATTTCACTTTTATAAATCTACTGAGTCAAATTGCTGATGTTCAAATGGTAAAGATAGAAGATAATTCAATCCCTCTTTATATTCATCAACATACATTTGTTTGTACTGTAAACATTTTTTCCTTAGATATACTCTAACTCAAATATTTAGTCATACTAATATTGATCTCCTGCAGGAGCAGATAAGGCTCTTCATGCTCCACTGCACTCAGATCATGGGAGCACTCAATAAATACACTCACACGTCTCAGCGCTGAAACATACCCTACTTTTATGGAAACCAGCCGTGGAACCTCTCTTGTTGTTCCTCAAACGTTTACATGAAATCATTTCTTACATAAAGTCTTCTGTTTTAATTACTATGTGGAGGTGTGTGAGAAAGAGATGCTGTGTTACAGATGTGTCTGAATGTGTGTGTGTGTGTGTGTGTGTGTGTGTGTGTGTGTGTGTGTGTACTCAGAAAGGATTTGTTAATTCCCAGGCATTACTGTGTCTTCATTGGGACAATTCATAT